TTATTATATTTATAGCACCTTTTAGCATACGTTTAAACTTAAGGTACTAGAAATCTTGTGAAGACAAAAAAAAAAGAAAAAGGTGGGGGAATACTGAATTTTTACCTACCACTTTTTACTAGATTGTATGTGAATCTGATCAGCAGAATTTTTGCTCCAAACTTTTACCTGTTGATAATGTTCTTGGAGTCTAAGGATATGAATCAGCCATCCTCAGGCAATCTTTGAGCAGACACTTAACATTCATGTTGCTCAGCAAATTATTTTAAGCTTAGAAATAAATGTCAGTAACTTGTAAGAAGCAAACTTAGGTTACTAAAAATTTGTGAAAGAAAAAAAAAAAAGAAAAAGGTGGGGGAATACTGAATTTTTACCTACCACTTTTTACTAGATTGTATGTGAATCTGATCAGCAGAATTTTTGCTCCAAACTTTTACCTGTTGATAATGTTCTTGGAGTCTAAGGATATGAATCAGCCATCCTCAGGCAATCTTTGAGCAGACACTTAACATTCATGTTGCTCAGCAAATTATTTTAAGCTTAGAAATAAATGTCAGTAACTTGTAAGAAGCTTTAGTGTGCGTAAATGGATTTTTTAACGCAGAAAACCATAGAATCACAGAATGTTAGGGGTTGGAAGGGACCTCTGAAGATCATAGAGTCCCACCCGTCTGCTGCAGCAGGACCTCCTAGGACAGATCATACAAAGGCATCCAGATGGGTCTTGAAAGTTTCCAGAGAAGGAGACTCCATGACCTCTCTGGGCAGCCTGTTCCAGTGCTCTGTCACCCTCACAGTAAAGAAGTTCTTCCTCATGTTGAGATGGAACTTCCTGTGTTGTAACTTGGTGCCATTTCCCCTTGCCCTATCACAGGGCACCACTGAAAGAGACTGGCCCATTCTTGACATCCACCCTTCAGATACTTATAGACATTAATAAGGTCCCCTCTTAGTCTTCTCAAGACTAAACAGCTGAGGTCTCTTAGCCTTTCCTCATATGACAGATGTTCCAGTCCCTTAATCATCCTTGTAGCCTTCCATTCTTTTTGGGGTGTAGGAATTTTTTCTTAGTAGACTGACCTTGTCCAACAACGAAAATGTTTACAAGCAAACTCATTAGAGGAAATATTAATACCTAGTGTTCAATCTAGCCATTTATTGACTTACACAGGGAACTTTGTTTGCCCTCTATATAGGGCTTTCACAACTATCTCTACATGCAAAGATGAACTACAATGCAATTTTGAAACCAGACAGTAAGAGTAGGTGTTTATTAAATATTTATTCCCTTATCCAGTTCTGTTATAAAACCCAGTAATTAAAATTGTTGGCCTTTGCTGCTGAAAAACAGTTTATCTGATTTACTCACAGCTGCTCAAAGTGATGATACATTCTCCTGGGTGAATTTCACTAGCTTCCACTTCTGAAAATCATGTTCAGAATTAAGTCTTTTCCCTTGTCTAAGAGATCATCCAATCATGATGCAGGAAAATTAGTTAAGTATCTTCTCTCAATGGTCATGGTCATTTGGACTCATCTGAGAAATCATGCACTCTTTTTCCAAGTGACAATTCTTGAAAGTTGGGTTATTCTGGCAGGCAGAGAACCTAGAAGAGTCAGATTCTTATGAGGCTGTGCACTCTATAGGCACAAGGAGCAGATGTGAGATGGTAGTCACAGGAGAGAATGTGCCACTGTTTCAGACTTCGTTAGCCCTTGTCAATGTTTGTAGAAAATTTGAGGCTGAGCTTCTATGGTAACCAATTATTACTGAATTTCTAGCTGCCCCTAGCATCAGACTAATGCTTGGTCTTTCTTCTTACTAATTGTTGTCTAAAAGCTTTGCTGGTGGGACTCAATGAAGCTTCTCTTTTGTGTGTTTGTGTACAACTTACAGCCCGAGTCTGGGTTCCAAGTAAAATGGAAAAAAAAAATTTATCAGTGTTTTTGGTTTGGGTGCACATTCAATCTGAAGTGATGGTTTAACTTGGGACGCATTACATACCATCTCATCACCAGACTAAAAGGAGATGTGTTTTCCCTTTGTGTATTACCTCTGTTCTGATACTTTGACACAGTAAGATGTCAGTGGGTCAGAGTAGTTATTTAATTAGTTTCAGAGTAGATAGGAGCTAAAAGATTCCTTTTCCATATCTGTCTTCCTGTCCCATTGAAATTGCTTTTCCAGGTGCCATTCCCATTGTTTAGAAAACAATGTTCCTTCATATTGCAATTGTTTTTTGCATGTATGAGGAGCTGGTCATATGTTTTGTCTTTCTGTCTTCTGTGTTTTTTAAATCTGAAGTCAGTTATTATTGTCTATGTGGAGTCTTTTGTTGCACAAAGCTAAAACTAGATAATAACAATACAGTAAGACTTGGAGTAGGTGTAGCAGTTAGTTCTGTGCTTAATTTTTAAATAGAAGACTAATTTTGTACTTTCTTGCCCTATTACAATTCTATCTTACTACAGGTAAGTCCTTAGTCTTCTAATAAGGAGATATAGAAATAGATTAAGACAACCCTAGAAATGTATAATCTATCCTAGCAGCAGATGTAGGAAAGGCCTAAGAGATACTGTCTACCCCATGCTTCTTGCCCTGCTCCAGGCAGTGAGTAAGCTGTTACTGCTTGTACCATTATATCACAGCAATATATCTCTTCTGTACTGACCAGGTCATTGGCCAAACGTTAACACATCCCTGTTCTTGCCCAGCTGTTTTCCAGAACAGATATGGGTTCCCAAGGAGCTTGTCCTTTTGTTGCCCTGTAGGATCTCTGTATGAGAGAAAAAGAAGGGATTCTACAATCTTTTGCACCCTGTGCTAATGCGGAGAGCGTCATACAACATTGCCCTTCATGTACATCTCTTCTCAAGACCATCTAACAGCACTTCAAAATCAGTCTTTTTATAGAGAGTTCTGCTGCAAAATACACTTTTTGAAGTTGTTCCTCAGTCTTGTGACCTCCATAGTGATACAGGCTCATGTAGAGTTAGAGGGAATCTCATCATGTTCCACTCTAATGAATGATGAACATTAAGTTCCAAGAAGAGTGATTTAAATTTATGATACTCACTCCATGATCTTCCTGCAAGCCTTGCCTTTGCTTATAACCCTCTGATTCCCATGACCTTGGCTCTCTGAAGAAGTGCTCCTTCTCAGCAGACCTCAGTCCTGTTCTTTCCTGTCATTATCCCAAATGCTCTCAATTCTCTCCATTTTATTACCACGTGGGTACTCTGTCCTTTGATGATCCACCCACTAGAATGCTTTGTCATCTTTGAACAGCAGAAGCTCATGAGAAGCCCAGGACATTACTTTCCTTCTTTCAGTTATGCCAGCAAAAGGGAAACTAGCTCCCTTCTCTCTGTTAATAGAACCTGGGGAGGAGCTCAAGAAGGTCATGAGAGTTACAATATCTGCAATCCCCTTTTCCAAATCTCCTTATATATAGACAGTGAAAGTTTTCAAATATATGTGTGTGTATACCTGTGGGCTATTTTAGCAATGTTTGAACCTAGAAACTTGGGTCAAAGTCTGTTGGGCTGTCTTGTCCCGTGATCACATACAGAATTATTCCTTAAGATCTGTTTAGTAATCAGACCAACAACCTAGTGTCAGACTGTTCAAAACTTTCTGTCATTCTGCCATTCTGCTTCCACTATGCCTCATCTATGTTTTTTCAGCAGATCCGATGTTTTCTGATGCTTGGTTTCATGGCTTCTTTCAGTTATTTTGATCTCCTAGCTGTTTGTACTCCTCAAACTCACCCATTTTGATTCCTCTGTCTGTTTGGTAGCACTCTTCAGATATTTGAATTGAAGACACTCCCTATCTTTGGCAGATGTTACTCAGATCTCCTCCCTGTTATCATTTAGCCAAGTACAGATATTAAGTTCTTTAATAATTTTTTGTATCTCACTGCCTCTGATCCTTTGATAATTTTTTATTGTTTCACTTTGAATTCTCTTCACTGCTGAGTTTTCTGTGAGATCTCTGATCCCACAAGCAATCTCTGGAAAAGTAGTGTCATTGTATTCCTTTAGAAAATGTCACTTACCTCCTTGTAACACAATAAACCTGCTTATTTGTTGTACGGGATCTTAGCAGCTGCTCTGGGGATGCTGTTGCTTTGTAAAATGCTGTCATATCTGATTTATGATCCATTGAAAATGTTACATTCTTCTTGGCATTTACTAGCTCTGTTCTGGAAAATTTTTATGTGTAAGCTGGTGATATTCCAGTTTGCATCTGAATACATTTCTTTCCTTCTTAAATCTTGCTAAAGTCTTTTGTGTTCTCCATTCTGGTTGGTGTTAGCAATTAATATCTGACAATTAATTACATTTGTTGTGAGCATGCTTTTCCATCCCTTTTTCAGGCCATTGTGGAAGATGCTGGAAAGGACAATTGAAAAATACATTTTTAGTCTTAGAACTAAGAACTCTCATTACTCGGGGTGCATGCAAGGTAAACTTACTCGACTAAACAGAAACACTGCAGCCCTCTTAAGGTCACTCTAGACTGAACAACCACGGTATATTGACTAATGGACAAAGATTTAATCATATCATGGCTTTTACTCTGTTTTAAAAGTGCAAGTGTATATATTCTTCAGCCTTCAAATCAATTTCAAATTAACTAAAGTAAGTTTCTGGCTTCCAAGTGGTCCTCATCCTCCAAATTCTGGATGTAATACTGGGAAATCGTATGGATCTTACAGGAGAATGTTGCCGTCTCAAGAGTTTTCTGCTTGTTGTGCTTCTATCTTTCTCTGGTTGACACGGATTTTCATATTGAGGGAAAATGTGGCTATGAAAACTTGAAGCCTAATAGAAATGACATGTTTATGTTGTGAATGTGAGTATGGAGTTCTGGAGGTGTCATGGGGTTTAATTTAGGCCTTCTCTTGCTATGGAGCTGCATTGCACAACCACATCTTGCCTTCAGGTTCTGCAGGCTTGGAAACAGGCTGAAGGGGGAAGGTGGTAATGGGAGGATGATTCTGAAGGCAGTTGGTAGCATTCCAGTGTGTATATTTAATGTAAGTAAGAAGTTACAATTTGCTTAACTGCTTGTAGTTTAAGTATCCATTTGGCAGCTGAGGTAAAAGACGCCTCAGCCAGGTACCTTGAGGTAGGTGTCTTTGTGGATGTGTCCGTGCTTAGGTGGTGATCCAGCCAAGAGACCAGTTTTGTAGCAGTGGTTAGCAAGATAAAATCCACTCGGATCGCGAAGGCGGTGGGGTCCCAGCAGCCCAGCGCTCCAGAGGGATCGCCCCCCGTGCCGGGGCTGAGGCCGCTTTGCTCTGGCAGCCTCAGAGGGGGCGGGCGAAGCCCCG